TTCTTAGATCAGATTTTATTAGATTCTGAAATATAAGCTACATTTTTGCAAAATAGAAATTCCTTGTGGGAGTAGATTGACTTAGTATCTGTATAAGCTAAGTATGTTGACTTGTTTTATGAACATGTATTTTATAGAAATGGTCACAATTTTTAAGTTAACTGATTTATTGAGGGGGTAGGAGAGAACTGACAGATCTACATGCATAGGTAGGTAGTCCTAACAGCAAATCTCAAACATGAAGACGGAAATTTGAGAGTCGATAATACAAACTTTAGCAAAAACATTTTACAGGCAGAGTTTTGGTGTTATCAAAGAAAGCTGAACTCCTCTTAAAAGGCTTTTTATACATATATGCATGCTTATACTCTATATGCATATATATAGGTGTGCTTCATTTTTTAAAAGTCCAATACAAATCAAATTTACAAAACAGGTTAAGTTAGTGTTGACTGACTAAAGGACTCACCATAGGTTTTATTTAAATTGCTTACATTGAAAACTACTCAATTTACATACAAAGGTACTTACTGTGTAGGTAAGTAATCTATATAGAAATACATTTATGCATGTATAATCTAAATGCAGCAAATAGCTGAGGCTATTTTCTAAGGTGTTTGGCTTAGTAAACCTTTTTCACATCTTAATAATTTTTAAATCAAATATACAGGAGTCAGTCTTTACTAGGGGATATGCTGCCACCAGTGATAAAAATCAGTAATGGGACTAGAAACAGCACACCCACTAAAGTCAGTTGGTAGTTAAAAACTATTTAAGAGGCATACCCCACTAAATTCCCTCTACGAGTTTAGTAATTTACAGATGTTGTATGTCATATTCCTGTCTTTGTGCTTGCTCCTTGGCAAAAATTCTCTTCACACTAAATTCCTGTAACTGAATCAGAACTGCAGAAAATGCAATCCCTTTTCTCTCCTCTGTACCTGGCTACAGAAATTCTAATAGCAACAAGATAGTTTGGAAGAAATACTTCTATATATATATATATTTTTTTTTTTTTTTGGCCAGGGCTGCCACCTCCAGCCTATGGGACCAGCACCCCACCCTTTTGAGCCACAGGCACCGCTCAAAATACTTCTATGTACCTTTTTAATGGCATTGTATTTGCAAATTTACTTGCCATTACTTTTTTTTTTTGAGACAGAGCCTCAAGCTGTCCCCCTGGGTAGAGGGCTGTGGCATTACAGCTCATAGCAACCTCCAACTCCTGGGCTCAAGTGAGTCTCCTGCCTCCGCCTCCCAAGTAGCTGGGACCACAGG